AACTATTATTGATGGATATCGTATTGCAAGTGCTGAAGCATATAAAGCTTTGGAAGAATCCACTGTCGATAATGGGTGGGTTTAATTACTATTTTATATATTTCCAGTTTTCTTTTAATAAATACTAATTTTTATTTTATTTATAGAACTAATCCGGAAGCATTTCGAAAAGATCTGATCAATATTGCTCGTACAACATTGAGTTCAAAAGTTTTATCGCAAGATAAAGACTATTTTGCTAATCTTGCTGTTGACGCTGTTTTAAGGCTGAAAGTACGTCATTTATAATAAATGATTTATTACTTGAAATAATCTGAATTAATGATTTGTCGCGTATGTTTTGTAGGGCAGCACAAATCTTGAACATATACAAATCATAAAGAAAGCTGGTGGTAGGCTAATCGATTCATATCTTGATGAAGGAAAGTATATATTATTATTCAAATCTTTTAAAGCTGATAGATAAATCCGAGTTTCATTCAACTAATTACTATTTAATTAATAGGCTTTATTTTAGACAAAAAGATTGGAGTTAATCAACCAAAAAGAATTGAAAAGGCCAAAATTTTGGTTGCTAATACACGTAAATACTTTTAATGTTACAATTTTTATATATTATAATTGTGCGATTCATTTATTAATTAAACTTATAATATTTAGCAATGGATACCGATAAAATTAAGATTTTTGGTGCTCGTGTTCGTGTAGACGCTACTGGTAAATTGGCCGAACTTGAAAGAGCAGAGCGGGTATGGACATAGTATTTTGAAAAATTATGATGTTAACTTGTATGAATAATATATATATTAATTATTATATAATTAAAAAAATAGGATAAAATGAAGGAAAAGGTTGAAAAAATAAAGGCTCATGGAATTAATTGTTTTGTTAACCGCCAACTGATCTATAATTGGCCAGAGCAACTCTTCGCTGACTCTGGTATTATGTCTATCGAGCATGCTGACTTTGATGGTATTGAAAGATTAGCTCTAGTAACAGGTAATTCTACTTGATTAAATATGTAAAAATTTTTTGGTTCATTTATGTTTAACGGTTCTGTCAACTTCAATTAGGTGGTGAAATTACATCTACATTTGATCATCCAGAACTTGTGAAATTGGGGTATTGTGACCTTATTGAAGAAATTATTATTGGAGAAGATAAGGTATGTTATTTAGAATGATTGATCTTTCATCCACGTAATTAATATATCTGAATCATAAAAAAATATTTATCTAGCTAATCAAATTCTCCGGTGTTGCTGCTGGAGAAGCCTGTACTATTGTGTTACGTGGGGCTACGAACCAATTATTAGATGAGGCTGAGAGATCTTTACACGATGCATTGAGTGTATTGACACAGACTGTAAAAGAAACACGTACGGTGCTTGGTGGTGGTTGTTCTGAAATGCTTATGTCCAAAGCGGTTGAGGAAAAAGCTAAGACAACGGCTGGTAAGAAAGCGATTGCTGTGGAATCTTTCGCAAAGGCTTTGAGGCAGGTAAATAAACCTTTTATCTTTTAGCAATTAAATTTTCAAAAAAAAAAAACAGCTTCATTCTCTTATATATGATTTATATGATAGATTCCCACTATTTTGGCTGATAATGCTGGTTATGATAGTGCAGATCTTGTTGCCAGATTGCGTGCAGCGCATTATGAGGGGAAGTCTACATATGGACTAGGTAAGCTTGAATATTTATAACTTGATTCTGAATTTGTATTAACAATCTTTGTTGGGTAATTTTGGAAGATATGGCGAACAATACTATTGGAGACATGCGAGAAATTGGAATTACAGAGTCATACAAACTTAAACGCCAAGTATTACTTAGCGCATCAGAAGCTGCAGAGATGATTTTACGCGTTGATGATATTATTCGATGTGCACCAAGGTTTGATATGATAGTATTAATTATATAATTACATAAGTGAAGCTTTGCGTATTTTGATCACTTTGACACTCATTATATCTTATACTAATATAGAAAACGAGGGCAATAGATTCTTTTGGCCCCGCTAGAGTTGCGGCCTAAACCTTTCCTTCGAATTATGGCATTATTACATATTTTGGGTTTGGGTTTGAGATCATGATTTCTACTTCATTTGGGATAATTATTAACCCAAATATATGTCTCATTTTTTGGTCAATAGTGTCAACTCAAAAACTAATTAAATTTGTTAAATCAAGGCTATAAATTATTAAACTTTGTTATTTTCATTTTCGAGTTAAAAAATTAAGTGATTTAATGACTAGACAGAATACGTTGAATAAAAGCGATATGTTAGGTCTAATGGTTAATCGAAGATGTACATAATAAGTGGAACTAATTTAAAAGTGAAAGCTTTTCACATCCAAATAAACTTCGAATCGTAAATAATAAACTTTGAATTTTAGTAGGAATGCCTAATAATTTTTAGAAAAGTAAAAACCCTTAATGAAAATCGATACCATCCTCCATCGTTGATTAACCTGATAAACGAATTACTTTTGACGTGGGAATAATCATGGCCCGATTCCCAGTTTTGAACCACGACCAGAAAGCATTAAACTCCTCTGCAAGGCAATTAAAACTGAAGATGTGTCTTTGCGTGAGATGCTGATCATCATCGCGCGATCAAATCACCTGATGTTATTTCTTGCGCGATAAATTTTTGATATGAAAATAATAGCGATCAGTTATTAATATATATAACGTTTTCAATAAAAATACTTATGCTATGATGTTCATGTTTATTTGAAAAATATAGCAGATATAATATTTTATTCCTTAATTCTCTGAATTATCATGCCGCCAAAATTTGGGATCATTTACACAATTAAAATTTGTAGATGGCCTGAATAAGAAAAGTGTACGTTACAATTATTGCAAGTGAAGCGACAGAGCAAAGTGAAATTACATTTGAGAAATGGTTGCCAATCAGTATTAGATGAAGTTTGCAACATTTTGAATAGAGATGGTAAAAATTAGTTTCACCAATTTCACCAATGATGATGAAATTATACTCTATTTCACCAGCATTATTTAAACACTACACATTTTTGACAATTTGATTTTTTAAAAAAATTGCTGCTTCCCTTTAAATTACCATTACAAAAACAACTTACAAAGTTTTTATTACTGTAAATCAAATATACAGTCTATAAATATTAAACCTAAAATTAAATTATATATCGTGAAGCAAATTTTTAATACCTGTTAATAATAAATATATAGTAAATTAATATTTGTTATTCTTTTGATAGATTATAAATATATATATATATATACTGTATATATACTGTATATAGTACCTCAAATAATATATATTATTAGTTAGAGAATATGTTATATATAATAATTAGTGTTGGCAGCAAATAGATGAATAGAACAATAAAACAATAGAATAGAGCAATAGAATTTAGAATAGAATAAAATTTTTGTCAATAGAACAAAAAATTGCCAACAGAATTATAATTAGATATTAATATAGCAATAAATAAATAGAACAATAGAACAATAGAATAGAACAATAGAATTCAAATAGAATATAATTTTTATCAATAGAACAAAAAATTGCCAACAGAATTATAATTAAATATTAATATAGCAATAAATAAATAGAACAATAGAGCAATAGAATAGAACAATAGAATTAGAATAGAATATAATTTTTATCAATAGAACAAAAAATTGACAACACTGATTAATATGTAATAGCATTGCTCAGAGCTTTTGTATAGCTAGCACATAAAGTTTAGTAATGGTAGCAAACCTTTTATACTATTACATTATTTAATGTATACTGTAAGTTACATTTATATATATATATATATACAATTTTGTAATTTTATTGAATCTATTATGCCAAAATTACAAACTTAACTAAATTGGCCTAAAAATTATTTGGCTAATTTTTATTAGATATTTCAGAAATTATAATAATAGTTATAAAAAACAAAGTTTATTTAGAAAAGATTAACAAATTTTTTCATTGTAGTCTTTAATATTTATGATTATCAGTTTATCTGGCCAGTAAAAAATCTAGCAACAAAAAAATAAAAAATATAAAAAAATTATAAATAATCATTAACAAATATAGAACAAAGTATTTTTTTTTTTTTTTTTTTTTTAACTTTAGCAATCTTACCAATCACTTTATTAGGTATTGTAAATTTTAATATATTAAATACAAACTTTTCAGATAGTTAATCCACCTAATATCTAAATTAGAAGTATTGACTCACCCGGTTGCTTAGAGAATACCTATGTGCAATCTGCTATAACAAGTATTTATCTCTATACTAGTTAACTTTATCTTAAGCTAATTAGTATATCAACAGATAGTACTTGTAGCTTATCAAGACTGCCTATTTTTTCTTCTAATTTTTTCTTTTTCTCAAAAGGCTTGAGACAAAAAAGAAAAAGTATTTAAAAACAAAATAAGAAAATGAAAGAAAGAAAGAAAAGAAGAAAAAGACACAGATTTTGAAAAAAAAAAAACAGAAAAAAAAAAACAGAATTGATAGCACATTTATGCTTGTGTCAAAGCCTAAAAAATTATATAATAATTATAACTAATTACTATATCTCAAATATAAAGCTTCATTTTATTATTAAGAACTTATTCTGTGTATCTAACTCAACTCAGATATTTCCTAAACAGGGGTATCAGTCTCTTTCTGGTATTGTAGCATTGTGTTGATAAACAAAACAGACATGTGATTGCATTCTACTAAGTTTATCTGAATTAGGCAGATATAAACAATGCTGATCTTTTGGAGGGAGTAAGCTAGATTGCTCACTTTTTTTGAAAAATTTTGGTGAGGTTGGCAAAAGTGAAAAAAAAGAAGAAAACTTGAAGCCACTTAAAAGAATATGAATTTTTTTTTATTAAAATCAACTTTTTACCAAAGCCTGTATAGTACTAAGTTTTTTCGATAAGTAATAAACCTTAAACTTATTAGCAAGTAGCATATAACAACTACTTCTAAATAATGAATACCATGCTTGTAATAAGTAATAAACTCTAAAGCTGTTAGCAGGTAGCATATAAGAACTACTTCTAAATAATAGCTGCTAGCTTACAGTCCTATTTCTTAT